AAGAGAGTTTTAGATACAACAGATCCATAAAAGCAGTTGGTTTTTCTCAAAAGACTGTGACTGTGGGTGGTGTGCATATGTTCAACTGTGAAGCCTTATTTATTAAATGACTATGGGATACTTTGCAACTGCAGTTGTATATCATTAATCTCAAAGACATATTCTCCACCCTCACTGAGGTTTTCCATGAAATATTCTAATAAAGATAGAACAGATACAGAGTTTACATTTTACCCCTGCAATGATGACAGTGTGAATGATTGCCACACATATTCAATTTTTGTCATACACATATGAAATTTTTGTTCTAAAGAAGCAAAATCACTAACTGACTCTTTTGGAAAAAAAAGTCTTTACTTTTCTACTTTATAAGTGAAATACTGTGATATTTAAAAATGGAGGTAATATGCTCTTATTCTGGTTGAGTCTGAACATATTGCCTTTTACTGTATTTAAGATGTTGAAAAGTGTGTAAAGGTATATTGAAGACTTAAAGTTTGAGTTTGGTAATATGCATTCACCTTTTTTTCTTATTAAAAAAGATATAACAAGGCAAACAATAAGGAATATTTTTGATGGTTAGTGCCCTTTTCTAGAGCAAACCACTGTCACTAGTTTATTTTGTTGACTGCCAAGAATCCTACAATTGGAGACGAATAGAGCCTAGTGCATAGCAACAGAGAAGGAGATCAAAAGTCAGGGACATAGATTAGCCATGGATTAAAAATTAAAGTAGAGATAACACTCATTCTTTTGAAAAACAAAGAATATTTTGATAGAGGCAATATCACAGCCTATCACATAGCAATTCCACATATAGATTCTCATACCGGACCCGTTTGACTGGCTTGGTCTCCAAGCTGCTAATGTAACCCAAGGAGAAGTAAGGGTGACATAAACTAAATGACCATTGAAAGCACACACTTTCTAAAGATGCAGTGCTCTGAAGTATTTTAAGCTGGGTGTTTTCCCCAAAACATAATAATGAGGGCAAACTTTGCAATTAGTAGCCTCTAAATTTAGGTGTGCTGCTACCGAACAAGGCAAACAATAAGAATTCTCTTTCTGGCTAGTGTCCTTCTACAGAGCAAACCAATGTCACTATTTTGTTGACTGCCAAGAACTTTACAATTAGAAATGCATAGAGCCTCATATGTAGCAGCAGAGAAAGAGATACAAAGTCAGAGATATAGATTAGTGTCCACTTTCCCAGCCCAGCTTCCTCAATTAGTTCACATCATTTCCTATCTAGTAAGACAGAGGCAAAGACCACAATCTAAAAACGGAGTACTGGCTACAATGCTTCTCAAATAAATCTGGTTTTGTCTAGGTGTTTTAGGCTTCTAAGCAATGTAGGACCAAAGAGGCAGAGATAAATCTTATTAGCAACACTAATGACACTTTTAATATTTCACTCTATGGCTTAAATTTCAGGTAAGTATGAGCACCGATTGTGTCCTTGTGCCTGACTCTTTCTTGGCTAATGCCTATCAGTGTTTTTATGATTCATTTTGAGGTGTGGCCAACTGTAAATGTCTCAGGCCTAAGCAAATACCATTAAATCCCAGAAGCACATTGAAAGAACGTTTATTCAGGCAAGATAGAGGGAATCTCAGCAAGAGTTTCATAGACTATGATTAAATCTAAACTATTTGTCTTAGACCCCAAAGCTTTGTGAGTATGTGTAAGAGACTGAACTAATTCTCTGGATTTTGGAAAACATGGTTTGGAATTAAACTACCTTGTAAATATACCATTTCACAAGCATTTGTCTTGCATATCTTTGTCTCAGTTCTTAGAAAATTAAAAATAAAATGTATAAAGAAATTTTGTATGTGGATTTGTAGATTAATTGGTGTCTCATGGCTTCACATTTCTAAATTGACAATTATATAAATCTGTTAATGCTCACACTCATATTTCTAACAATTCTTCCTGCTCCTTATTTTTATAAATGCTAGCTCAGAGATCAGTAGGAAGATAACAGTGGACAGTGTATAACCTAGATCTTAAATCAGTTGCAGACAGATTTCAGAGAAGCCAGAATCGTGCTTATTTATATTTACATCTGGATTTTAACACTGTCAGATGTTTTGTGGGTTCAATCCATTGTTACAAAGTTATGCCAAGGGTCTGCTTACATTTTTATTGCATTTAATCATCCCCCAGATAATTTGTTACTATATAAATTATTTTTGAAAGAACATATTCATTGAATTGGAAATGTCTTTAAAAAACACAGATAACTTTGTCGTTAATATTATACTTGTAATATTATTTTGGAATTCTTAAGTTTACTTTTTTGAATGTTTAAACAGTTGGATTTTTAAAATGTCTTATTTTAAAAATATGATATATGATATTTGTATGTATTTACTTGGAACAGTATGGTGCCATGATTTTTAATACACCGAGGAAAGGCTAAATTAAGCTAACAGAGCCATTGCTTCAAATACTTAACAATTTTTTTGTGAGAACATTCAAAATTTACTCAGCCATATTGATATGTTCTGAACTCCATTATTGGCTATATTTACTATTCTGCACAATTGGTCTCATTATGGTATGGATATGAGGTGTTTCCCCAAAGCTCCTGTGTTAATGCAGGAATATTCAGAGGTCAAATGATTGTATTATGAGATCTGTAACCTAATTAGTCCATTCCAGTTTGGATGAACTAACTGTAGGCAAGTAGGGGTTGGCAGGACCAGGAGGTGGATCCCTGGGAGTGTGCTATAGAAGGGTTCATCTTCTCTTCAGCCCCTTCCCCCTTTTCTCTCTGCCTCCTGGTCTCCATGAATTGAGTTGTTTTTTTCCCCCACCACACCCTTCCACCATGATGTTCTGCCTCACCTCTGTCCCAGAGCAATGGAGCTGACTGTGGGCTAAACCTCTGAAACCATGATTGAAACTAAACTTTTCCTTCTCAAAGTTGTTCTTGTCAGGTATTTTGGTCACAGTGACAAAATGTTGACTAACAGGTCTAAAACAAACATCAAACCTATTCCTCCCGTTTAGCTGGATTTTTGTGTCTTTGACTTTCCTCTTCCTATATCCATTAACTCCCACTCTCTGGTAACTGCCATTCTACTTTCTTCTTCTATGAGTTCAATTCTTTTAGATTACATGTATAAGTGAGAACATATGGTATTTGTATTTTTTGTATTAGTTCTATTTCACTTAGCATGATGTTTTCCCATTTCCATCCATGTTGGAACAAATGACAGAATTTTCTTATCTTTAGAAGTTTGTATAGTAGTCCATTGTGTAGTGGAATACTATACAACACATTGTATAATATAATATTGCATATATACATGTGTGTGTCACATTTTCTTTATTCATTCCTTCATGATTGACACTTAGGCTAATTCATAACTTGGCTATTGGAATAGTGCTGCAGTGAACATGGAAATGCAGACATATTTTCAACAAAATGATTTCAAAATTTTCAGGTAAATATCCAGACATTAGATTGTTAGATCATATGGTAATTCTATTTTTCAAAAATTTTTAAAGGACTACCCTTACTATGTCCCTTAATGGTTGTACTAATTTTCATTCTCACCAACAAGGCATACCTCCTGGGTATTACACTTACCTTTTGTCTTTGTGATAATAGCCATTCTAACAGGTGTGAGGTAATATTTCACTGTGGTTTTAATTTGAATTTCACTAATGATTAGTTATGTATCTGTTTTCAAGTATCTGGTAGCCATTCATACATCTCATTTTGGGAAATACCTATTCAGATCCCTTGCCCATTTTTTAATCAGATTAAACGCACAGCTCAGAGATCCTATAAGTTTGGTTCCAGATCACACAATAAAGTGAATATTGTAGCAAGGTGTAAACTTAAGTTTAATGTCTTATTGACTTGATCCCTTTGTTTCTCAACAGTAAGAGTCAGAGACATATTCCTGTGTACTGGACATTAGAAAGGGGGTTTAGACAGAAGAAAGATGTTTCTCAATCATCACATCCTCTTACCAAAGATTCCATTCAGCTGTCCCAGTGAGCAATTATGTGTAATCTCAGAGGTGTGTCCTATGATCCATAAGGATTCTACTTCACTTTATAAAGAAAATTGTAAGGTATAAGGTGAATGAACTATATTCCACGTTCCCTCTATACAGCGACATCTACTGGATTAGCTCAAGGTGATTTTAAACAAGTGCTTGCTTATTTAATAGGGACCAAAACTCTTTTCTGTGGGTGCTGGAACATTCAGTTTATTGTGGTGGAGAAAAGAATTTTCACTTAACGTCAAACTCAGACCCAGACTTTAATGAGTATACCTGAAAGGAATGCTGGAAACATATCGCTGATGTCTAAAGACTTAAGCCTCAATCTTTTGGCTTATTTCAGAACAATCTTCCTCCACAAAATTGTGAAATCATTTCTTAGTTATGTTTCCTAGGTATCCTGGAGGAGAAGGTACTAGATATGAATCACCGTAGGAAGGTCAACAGAATTACTGCCTTCAGGACATTAAGGAAATGCAATAGGAAACGATGCCTGTTTTATTTATTTATTTAAAGGGGGCGGGGGCGATAAACTTCTTAGACAAGATTGTAGATTTATCTTGACTGGGTTTAGAAATTTTGCTGCAGGATAAGGATAAAACTCGTGCCCTTTTAAAATCACAACTCTTTCCCTTAAAAGGATGTAGTTATCCTTCTCTGGCAAAAAAACTGCTTTGCACTTTGATATTTACAGCCAAGTAATGCCTGTGTGCTTTCCAAGAGCAGCCGGTAACAAAAAACCTGGGAGCGCACTTTGCAAGTTGTTCACCCCACCTCAGTCTGCAAAAGAGAGAGTTGTTGGGCTGGTCCTCTAGCCTGCTCCAGCGCATTCCTGCATCTCCAGGGCTGCCGGTGCTCCGGGTCAGCCCCGCCCGGCCCGCCCTCGCGGCTCCCTGCCACCCTCTCGCGGGCGCGCTCTGGGTGGGGCCTCTCGGGCAGTGGAGATGCCGCCGAGTGCGCTGGGCCGGTGATGCGAGCGGGCTGGGCGGCGCGCCGGGGCAGCCCCAGCCGTGCGCCGCGTCGCTGTAATCGGACACCCGAGCGCTCGCCCCCTGCGCCCGGCCACTTTTCCATTCACTCCGAGGTGCTTGATTGAGCGACGCGGAGAAGGGCTCCGGGTGCCACGGCACTACAGGGTTGAGGATTCCTGTACAAAGAAACTCAGAGGACCTGGAAAAAAAAAAAAAAGAAAAAGAATATCACGTTGGGACGCTCTAGAAATTAAGGTCTTCTGAGAAAAGGACTGGAGAGACTGGCGGATCCATTCCGGTTGTAAATTGGTGACCGTTCCGTGCTGAGCTCTTCCAACCTCGGTAAGCTGGATTCATTATTTTCAGAATTTCAGATTTAGCAAAATCTAACTTTTGGGTCTGTGCATTGGCTTTTCATACATGAGTGTGCTGGAGTCCGAACATTTTGTTAAGAGCACGCGCGGTTTGTCAGAGAAACGTTACCCTCGCTGAGAGCCCGGCTTGAGCTGTTTCTTTAGGCTGTGACACCTGCGGGGAGTTTAAAGTTGAGTATTACAAAGCCTTCTAAGGCAAAACTGGTCGCGAGGACTTGAAAGAATTCTCCTTTATTATTAGTTTGCAGTCAGTAGAAGTGAAAACACCAAGCAGCACGTCTTGAGTTGAAGGGAAGAAGTTGTAAGATACTTGGGGGAGGGGGCGCGGGGAGCTAGTCTAGGACGCTGGGCTTTCACCTCTCATCACTAGGTGGAACAGTCAACTCACTTGTTCTGTAAAGTAGCTTCATTTGATTTGTCATTGTTTCATTCTCGGTATTACTCTTTGTAATTTATGGCATATGTTCCTTTGAGAGAAACATCCAGATTATATTCTGGTAATAGCAAAATGCAAAAAAAAAAAAAAAAAAAAAAAAAAGTGTAAGTATTATCAGCCTACTGAGGTTGAACATATTAATAGCTCCCCCCTCCCTTTAAGTATCAAATCAACAGACCAAGGGGCAAATTACTAAAGGAAAGTCACCCATAAAATCAATTTTCTTCTAAGTTAATTTAGGGATGACAGGGTGAAGAGGTTGTGGAAGCAGGAAGAAACTGTTTCTTTTGAAAATTACCAACACAAACATCTCTAGGGTTTCCTCCATCTGTGTGGTAGAAGCATACCTTTTATTCCTAACTCTTACAGCATATGCACCACCGATGAAAGCAACTTATAATTTTTTTGTTTAAGTTTGCACATTTGATTTAATTGTTTTTTCTTCTGTGTTAATGGAGCAGTCTTTTCAATTTTTAATAGCATTTCTTTAATGAAGAGAATTAATGACAGAAATTTCATTTTAAAAAGCCACATAATGTTTCAGATCAGCATTGTTGTTACCTGTATAAATGTGTTTCTAGATTAACCTGCTATGCCATTTATTGTGTAATTATGATATGTGTAAAATTATAGGTTTTCTCTTATGGTCCTGAGTATATTTTGCATATTATGGCCACTAGAGTGGTGATAGGTTTGTCCTAAAACATTACCTGATTTTCCCTGGTATTTAGACATTAGCTAAGAGTATGTATCAGTTTTATTGCTCTAGTTTCAATCTGTAATACTTGTCTCCTTGATTTATCTTTTGGAATTTTGACAGCCCACTTTCTGGTTGATTTATTCAAAATGTGCCTTGGTGGATACAAGGCTCACTGGATTACTCACTGCTAGGTCATTGGTTTGTATTTGGCACCGGTCCATGGCTATCTCATCTGCATCATTTAACAGCTGCCTGGTCATCTGAATAAACTGGCAGATAATTGATTCAAGTGATTTTAGTAGACAAGGGTTGAGCACACATAAATTTATGTGTAGAAACACCATTTCAGATACAATTACTCTAAAGAGCTAATGAGTAAGAGAGTGAGTGGGTACATATGAATGTGGGATTTCTTTACTACTCTATGTATGGGAGAGGGAGTTTTCATCAGCAATACTTTATGGTATCACTCTCTAGTCACTGTAATAGAATGGAGTTTTAGAAAAGATCAGTTAAAACATTAGGGTTTCCTTTAAGAATCAGTAAGTTTTTCCTTTCTGCTTTGTTCTGCTTTGATGCTGGCATTATTTTGTTGGAAGATGAACCAATTCTCTTCTGGCAAGGACTTCCAGACACAAATAAATCTAAATTTTCCTTTCTGAGGAACAAAGTCACAGCACCTCCTACTGTTTGCATTACTATAGAAGTTCAGTAGCATCTTATTCAAATAGATTTTTCTGTCTGGGCTGCTAGATTTTTTTTTTTTATAATCCTGAAATGTGAAATGAGACATAACAAACTCATTATCTCTCTTTTTAAAGGTATTTTCCCTTGGATATTAACTTGCAAATCTGAAGAAATGGCATTCCAGGCAATTTGCATGTTGGTTGGAGTATTTGTTTGTTCTATCTGTGTAAAAGGATCTTCCCAGCCCCAAGCAAGAGTTTATTTAACATTTGATGGTAAGACATTTGATAAAATTCATGGTTCAAATGTTATTTGAAGTCTTATTTTTCTTTCTTATCTCTATTCATAAGTTAAGAGACTAAAATATTACTGAGCATTAATGTTTAATGTATTACTGGAGTGCTTTTTGAACAACCAGGTAATTTTAAATTATTGGCGGATAGACAAGTGTTCTGTTGAATTCAAGATAATGTTTACAAAAATACTTGAAGTATAGGAGACTGTATTTTCTTTTCTCTCTCTTCAATTTCTTCTGTGTTTTTTTTTTTTGTGTGTATTCGGGGAGATGATGGAGAGCCCAAAGCCTAACATCTTTGATCTTACTATTCACCTGGACATGCTGAGAGAAATACTTCTTTTATGCTAATCCTAGAAAGAACTATATAGTTTTAATTATTAAAATATGTACCCAGTAAAATTTGGACAATAGCCTCAGAACTGGCTACTCCTTTTAATGTTCTAATTATGTTTCTTCTATTTCCATAAGGACTTCCTGAGGTTGACATAAAACTCTAGTTAATTGAAAATTACCTAAAATAATAGTAGAAATATGCTATTTGGGAGGGGGGGTGCCAGGGATTGAAATCAGGGGGATTTGACCACTGAGCCACATCCTCAACCTTTTTTTTTTGTATTTTATGTAGAGACAGGGTTAGCACCTTGCTTTTGCTGAGGCTGGCTTTGAACTCAAGGTCTTCTTGCCTCAGCCTCTTGAGCCACTGGGATTACAGGTGTATACCACCTTGCCTGGCAGAAATATGCTTTTGATGGCTGTTGTATACAAATGTCTCCAGAAACTTAGGGAAAAAGTGGACATTTCAGATTTTTACGTAGCAAGAAGGTCTAAGGCCCTCTGAGGGAATGGTTTCTCAAATGTGTGTATCATTTTAATGTACACAGTTCAAATGACAATCAGATGGATGATCTCAGTCAATCAAGGAACCTGTATTCACTGGCAGTTGGAATAAAAAAAGATGAGAGATGCCATCATGCTAGTCAGAATAATTTATATTTTATTATGTCTTTTAATTCTCTCTGCATGAACCTTAGTGTCATTGCATATATTTTTACTTTCATTTGATTAATGGTACAATCTCAGACCTTGTTAAGTATCTCTGAAATTCCTTGTTATCTTCAATTTCAAATAGCACTATGACTGACATTTAGTTAAATAGCTTCCCCCCTACCCCTGCACTTTCTTTCTTTTAAGTGACCAAGTTCTTTCCCCAAGGTCATCCTAAGCACTGAAGGAGCCATATTTAGAACTTAGAATGTGTGAGCTTCTAATTGCTTCCTTAGACTACAAGTCAGGCATTCCTCTTAAACCCTAACTGTTCAGTTAAATTGTGAAGAATGGATTTAAAAGGCCCCCTGGAATGTCCTTTTCCCCCTTTAATTACTAAAGCATCTTACAGTCTGCTTACACTTTGTCTTCCAAGTTAAAAATTATAAAATATCAAATAAAAAAAGAAAAGGCATTAATGAGCAATACCATTTCCCCTTATGTTCTATTCCTCTGATTTATAGGGAGACTGAGTGGTCTCATAGTTTAGGTGTCTAAACTTGCTGTCTTCCATCAAAACCAACCCAGATCTTTTAATGCAAACATCAGTAACAAGTTAGTCACTGAGATAATTCAGCAGGTCTGCATTTGATACTGATTAAAATTTATAATTTATAGAAGAAAATTAAGCAGTAAAATCTTTTAGAACCAAACTTCAATAGTATGTAGGACAGTGACTCTGTACTAAACAGTGACTAGAAGTTAGGATGGACATTTTTTGGTATTGGGGATTGAACTCTGGGATGCTCTACCACCAGGTTATATCCCTGGTAATTTTTAGTTTTTCTTTTGAGACAGGCTTGGAGGCTGTCCTTGAAGTTGTGATCCTCCAGCCTTAGTCTCCCAAGTGGGGGTTGGGGAGATTACAAGCAGGTGCCACCACAGCCTGCTGGTATGTAGTATTTTAAAAGTCCATCCTATAGGGTGGGGTGATACAAACACGTAATCCCAACAACTCTGATAGCTAAAACAGGAGGATTACTGGTTTGAGGCCAGTCTGGGCAAATTAGTGAGAATGTCTCAAAATAAGAAATTAAAAAGAAAAGAAGAAAGAAAGAAAAAAAGAATGACAGGGGATGTACTTCAGTTGTAAAAAGACCCTAGCTTCAATCTTCAGTACCAAAAGTAAAGTAAATGAAATAAAATAACTAAATGTCAAGTATTTCAAATGCCCTCAAAATCAAAATAGGTTTTTGCAAAATAAGATTTCCTTTGATTTATAACTTATATAGAAAATGGCATGATATGAGAAGTTACTGACCTGAAAATTCTGATATTTTGTCTTTTCCAAGAGTATCATTAATACATAATTATAGAAATAGAGTATTAGTTACAACAGGGGGAATCATTTTAATAAATTCCCACAATGTCTAAATTACTAATTAAAAAAAAAACCCTTAAGTGAACTACTATATATTAGGCAAGGTATCAGAGGAAAAATACCTTGGGCAAACAAGGTTGTTCAAACATACAAATTTCAACCAACACTTCAAGATCATTTTCTTAAGAGACTTCATAGTATACTTGCTTAAAGTTTTCATTAAACAAATAATGATTTGTCCTAATATCATACACAGCAAGCTTCTGTCTCCTCCAATATGGTTTATTATTGACATCAAAATACAGAGCTCTGGGCAGGGTTGATAGGTATGTGACTGCACATTATTATTAAAGTATACATGCTATATAACTTTTTAACATTTAACATTATTATTAAAGTATGCATGCATGTATAATTTTTTAACATTTATATTACAAACTTAAATCACTGTTTTCTCAGCTCAAAACCAGAAATTAAAATATGTTTTTAAAAATTCAAATAATTTGCAGCTGTATCAGTCAATTGCAACACTTGTATCATTTCTCTGCATCTATATATCCTCTCAATTACCTTGCCTACTGGGTCTTTTGTCTTTGTATCTTCTCTATCCCTGTAACTTGGTCCTCTACCTTCATCTCTTTCTGGGTAGAACTTCAGAAGAATCTGTTCAGTCTTGTCTTACTTTTAGTCCAAGTAAGTTTATAAAGGCATGAGAAATAAGAGGTTTCTTCTCACATCCACATTCCATCCCTTCTTCTGTGGTGCATTGATGGGGTAATAACATTTGAGAAACAATGATTTACAGATTTGTCTTACCTATTGATCTAGTAGGGGAGCAAGCAGATGATCTCAGTTCTTTGTGAGAATATACTTCAGATAATATTAATCAGTTACATTTGTGCTAGCTAAATCTTTCATGTCATTGTAACTTTTAATAGATACTTTGTAATTTTTAGAATTATCATTTTATGCCAAGTAACTTTTTAAATGAATATAAGCTTCATCTCAATGCTTTTTGAATTGATTTTTTAAAGAAAAACTGCAGATTGACAGATTCATACTTCACAACATTATTGGCATTGCATTTTTTACCCAGAAAATTAATTGTTAGAATCAAGAAGGATCATAAGAGAAGGCTCCCCATATTCAATTAGCAAATCTATTTTTTACTTGATATTATCCTATGAAAAGTATTGTTTAAAAGGTCCCAACTGTATTCAGTAAAGATTCAAGCATATATTATTTTATAATATCAGCAAAAAGTATGATATAATTTGATAAAATATATCAATTTAAGAAAAGTTTCCTGAAATTCAAACAAATAAAGATATGATCTATATTTGAATCAACAAAAATATGATTACTGAGGTAAGTATGGTAAATATTCTTTCTAGTTTAAAATGGATTTAGTCCTCATAAAAACAATAAGAGTGTTGTTTCATCTGGTAATTCATATTTTCAATCTAAGATATTCAATTTGTTGAAATGCTTATCCATAATAACTTCTTTATAGTCCTAGGATCCATAGTAATGTTTCTTTATTTCCTTTCTGATATTCATAATTTGTATCTACACCCTTTTTGTCTTAATTAGTCTGCTGAGAAGTTTATCTATTTTATTGATCTCTTTAATCAGCTTTTGTTTTTCTTGCATTTCCCCCCAATGTTTTCTGTTTAATATGTCATTGATTTTTGATTTATGCTCTAAAATTTATTATTATCTAACTTCTTCTTGCTTTATGTTTAATGTTCTTTTCTTTACAGAACATCTTAGAGTGGAAGCTTAGGTTGATTATTTTAGGACTTTCCTCTAAAAATCATTTGTGCTATAGATTTGCCTCAAAATACTGACTTAGCAGTCCACCACTAATTTTGGATGAAATGCATTTTTATTTCCATTTAGTTCAATTTTTCTTCTAATTGTTGTATTATTTATTCTTTTGCCTATTTTTTATTTAGAAATATATTGATAATTTACAAACATTTATAATTTTATATATGTTACTGATTTCTGGTTTAATTTCTTGTCAAAGAACACATACTCTGTTGTTGCAATTATTTAAAATTTATTTAAACTTATTTCATGATGCACAATATAGTCTATATTGAAAAACATATATATTCTGATGTTACTGCATAGAATGCTCTATTGATGCACTAGTCAGTTAATAATGTTTCTGTATTTTTATTGTTTTCTATCTTCTTTCAATTACTGACAGAAGAGGCTGAATTTTACAACTATAATTACGAGTTTGTTTATTTATTTCTCCTTCAAATTCTATCAACTTTTACATTATGTTTTTAAATTTCTGTTATTATATATTTAAATATTTAGAAGTATTAGGTCTCCTAATAAATTGACTACTTTTCTATTATTAAATATCCCTGACTATTGCTAGTAATGATCCTTAATCTAAATTGTATTTTGTGTGGATGTGATACTTTTCCCTTTAACTATAAAATGAAAAGTACCAGCAAAAATATAGTTATAATTAATTGGGAAAAATGTCTTGAATTCTAAGATTTCTAAGATATTTTCATTAAAATATTAGGAAATATATTTAAATAGACATATTTTGTTATCAATCAATATATTACTAATAGGAGGGGAGT